TCGTTTATTTTTAGAACATAAACTACATGTATGTACTAGAAGGTTCTTAACTGTTGTTGAAAACTCATGCATTATATTTTAGATAGAACACTTCTGGAATGATCTTTATTGTTGAAGTTGCTAGATTATGATTACTTGAGAACATAATAGACCTTTCTGGAAACTTCTTAGTTAATATATATAAGGAGACATTTTTCATTAATCTTATCTTTAAGTCATCAGTTACCTTTTTAGTCATCAGTGGTCTTTTAAGTCATCAATATATTTGGAGTATTATTCAACTTGGAAATTAAGTCATTTATTGGAGCTTGGATTATTAATTATTCTTGTGGATTTTATTGTGGGAATTTATTCTAAAGTGTTCTTGGATTTAACTTGGATTTAACTGTGCTATTGGAAAAGGATCATTCCAGGATCAGACTAGACATTTGTAAATTTTATTTGGACTTCAGGTATTTGTAAAGATAATTTGTTATTTTATTTTTCTTAAATAATTTTTCTGTAATAAATTTGTTATTGTTACAAGTTTGTTGCTGGCTTTTCTTTCTCGTTACGCCTGGCTCGTAACAATATCGTTTTCTCATTTAAACTTATTATTGTAATAATTCATTTGTTAACCCGCGTTTTTGTCTGTTTTCAGTTTCTGGGGTAAATTTGGGCAGCGTTTAAATCAGGGTGTATGTAAAATCATCCACTCATCGCAGCTGGATTCATTTTACAAAATCCTGACAGACCCTACGAAAAAGGTTAATAATTTTCGCATCATCAACGAGGACTACGAGCACGGGTCAGGATTTGTTCCAGAAGACATGAAAACAAACATATTATTGGCCACATTTACCACATGTTGGGCTCGGCTCAAGCTATACGACGTACTCGATCAGTTGGGGGAGCGAGTCCTCTACTACGACACAGACTCCGTTATTTTCATGAGCAGACCTGGTCATATCGATCCTCCATTGGGCGATTATTTAGGTAGGTTACTCTTATAATCTTTCTATTTATTTAGCGCTTTATTACTGTTAAAAGTATAATTTGTTACTGTAATAAAGTTTAGAATAAGCATATTATAATATGATGATCTTAAATTATGTTTTATTACAGGCGATCTAACCGACGAATTGGAGTATAGAGACCACATCGTGGAATTTGTTAGCGGAGGTCCAAAAAATTACGCCTACACAACGGCCAATGCCAAGCAAACGTGCAAAATACGCGGGTTTAGTTTAAATCACGCCAATGCACAGATCCTCAATTTTGACACGATTCAAGAGATGGTAGGATATGTGGATCCATCCAAGCCTCATACACACAAGAAAAGGAAGCTAGATGATTCAGATCTTCCTCCCTCTAAGCGTATTGTCCTAACAAATCCAACAAAAATTTGTAGGGACAAATACGCCAATTTAGTATTCAACAGAAAAGAAGAAAAACAGTACAGAGTGATTTATGATAAACGAACTATTCTGAAAAATTTAGACACATTACCGTACGGGCATTAATACTTTGTTGTTACTGCGCATTTTGTATATAGATTAGCTGTATTGTGTAAATAACTTTGTGTCATTTTGTACACATTTAATTTAGATTTTGATAATTCTTTATACAGTTTTCTGACAAAGTTATTATATATTTTATATAAATTTCGATCAAGATTTCGGTCATTTTGTTTCAAGCTTTGTGTCATTTTGTCGAATTTAAGTTTTTTTGGTAATTGTTAGAACAATTTTTTTGGTAATTTTCACTATATAATTCATATAAATTTCGATAAAGATTTCTGTCATTTTGTAAATAGATTTACGTTATTTTGTACATTTTGTATTAAGATTTTTGTCATTTTCAAAACGGTTTGCTGTCAAAGTTATTATATATTTCATATAAATTTCGATAAAAATGTATGTCATTTTGTAAATAAATTTATGTCATTTTGTAAACGAACTATTCTGAAAAATTTAGACACATTACCGTACGGGCATTAATACTTTGTTGTTACTGCGCATTTTGTATATAGATTAGCTGTATTGTGTAAATAACTTTGTGTCATTTTGTACACATTTAATTTAGATTTTGATAATTTTTTATACAGTTTTCTGACAAAGTTATTATATATTTTATATAAATTTCGATCAAGATTTCGGTCATTTTGTTTCAAGCTTTGTGTCATTTTGTCGAATTTAAAACAAGTTTTTTTGGTAATTGTTAGAACAATTTTTTTTGGTAATTTTCACTATATAATTCATATAAATTTCGATAAAGATTTCTGTCATTTTGTAAATAGATTTACGTTATTTTGTACATTTTGTATTAAGATTTTTGTCATTTTCGAAACGGTTTGCTGTCAAAGTTATTATATATTTCATATAAATTTCGATAAAAATTTATGTCATTTTGTAAATAAATTTATGTCATTTTATAAATAGTTTTTTTAACATTTTGTATCATTATTTGTTATTATTTCTATGCGTAGAACTCGATAAAATATCGTAAGAATGTAAGAATGCAACACCCTCGTTATTTAGTTAGAATGGATTCTCACGAAGAGTTCCAAAGAGAAGCTTTCGTTCATATAGAAAATCAACAGGAAAATCAGTCTAACGCCGAGAAATGGCATTTACTCGGTCGTAAAGTACCCCAGTCAGAAATTGTGTACTTTTGTCAGATGATCATTGTTTACATTATCATCATTGTGTCAATAGTGAATCTTTCCTTGCAAAACGGGTCATCCGAGCTCTGGATAAGCCTATTAAGTAGTTGTATCGGTTACGCTCTCCCTTCACCAAAACTAAAAAGATAATGAGCGTAGCGTTACCGTTCGAACCTTGCTCCAGTATATGGATCAGTGGACAAACCGGAAGTGGTAAAACGCAATGGGTCTACAGGTTCCTGAAAAATTTGTCCAACATATACTCTAGAGACCCACCGTTTCAAGTGTTGTACTGTTACGGTATACATCAAGACATATTTGACGAAATGGAAAGTTACATTCCTAACTTTTACAGTAAAGAAGGATTACCTACCGTGGAAGAAATAAATGACTTTACAAAAGACAAGAAGCATAGCCTCTTGGTAATCGATGATCTCGTTCATGAGGTTATGCGGAACAAAGAGATGGAACTGTTATTTACCCAGGGAACCCACCATAAATGTGTCAGCGTGATCTTATTACACAGAATATGTTTCCCGGAGGCAAACACGCGAGAACTATAGCGTTAAACACATGGTACTAATGAAGAATTTAAGAGACGTGTCTCAAGTAGGAATATTGGGAAGACAACTCTATCCCGGTACAGTGAAAGGGTTCATGAAAGCCTACGAAGACGCTCTCCGGGACAAGCACGGATATTTCGTCATTGATATGAGTCCATTTGCCGAGAACAAATATCGACTCAGAACAAAGGTGTTTCCTGGAGAAGAGCCTATCGTGTACAAGTTAACGTAAGAATGCTCATTTTAAAAGGTTGTAAGAAGTCACCATGACGGTCCTCGTTAGACAGCAGCGTCACTTTTTAAAATTATTGGTAGACACTACGCCCGGACAGAGAAAGGCCCTGCTAAAAACTATCACCAGAAACCAGGTAAAAGCTGTATGTCAAATAGCTTATAATATTCTACGTTTTACCATACAACTTACACCTTCGGAGAAGGCAAAACTCAAGAGGAGAAGAAGTTTTATTTACTTGTTGGGAAGTAAAAAAGTAGGGTATCTAGAAAAGAAGAAAGCTATTGAAAACGATTGGACAACCGTGTATTCTATAGTAAAAATAGCGTCGATGTACTTAGGTTCGGTGTTACAATAATGGAAAAGTACATTCTGGTACCGTACGCGAAATATCAGCGACTACAAACAAAAATACATAGTTTGAGCGGGTCGGGGAATATCGAGGAACCACAAAAAGCGGACGAGGAAATTGCCATAACAAAAACTGATACGCATTCTAAGCGGAATATTGTGTCAAATGTACTACCTAAAACTGTTGGGAAGGTACGGAATTTACCCAAACCACCACCAGGAATACGGGATAAACAACGCAACGGAAAACGCGCAAACGCTGAAAAGTCTAATAGGACTGAACCGAAACAACGTGCCGCGTCGATTCAGTGGCTTACATAAAAAACAATGACTGTATTTTTTTTTCTGTACAATATTTATTAAATAAAATCGTATAAACGCATTTATGAGTCGTTATTATTTACATAGTGTACAACATAACTATCATTTCCTGACAAATTATATACATTAAAATGTTTGACAATGTTCTCGAATGTTCTTCCTATCCATCTAGTCATAACATAATAAGCGCAGTAATATCCGCACGTATCTGACCCATAGTCTTGTAAGCGTTCACAATTGGTCCAATAACTGTTAAGTAACAACTTTTCGAATCCTACTTCGTAGCTAATAGGCGTCTGTCCCAAAGAATCGAAAAATTCGTATGGCCCCCTAGTAGGAAAGTAAAAAGCCACCCAATGTTTTCCTGGTCCGTCGCTAGTGTCTGTATTGGATATGACGAATTGTCCCGGTTTAATTCGAATCTGGTCAGCAGCGCACACCGTTACCGGATAGTCCCTAAGTAACTCGTACAGTTCAAAATTATTCATTTTAAGAAAACTGCCCTGGATTTGTCTATGTTCAGCGTTTCTGGAAATGAAGCGTACATGATTAAGGTGACACTCTCTGGCAAGGCAACGGCAAATTTGAGCTCTAAGCGACAATGTCCCCTTCTTTTGGTGTTGAAGGAGTGGTACGGGTCAATGTCCAGCACGTACAAACAATACCCGTTCTTATAATCTTCCAGGGTAACGTCAATGTCATTTCTATAGAGTCCCAAACCTCTGTAGCAGTCCACGTACTGATTGGCAGAATAATTCGGTTGTAGAGGTTGTGACGGGATAGATTGTCCGTCGATGTAAAATCCGATGAAATTACAGTTGAAGTGTTTAAAGTCGAACGGATTTTTTGAGTAATCGCCGTTAAACGAGTTGCTTGACACCAGTCCGACGATGAGTTTACTGGGAATCAAACCTTGAAACACGTCGTCGGCGCTAAAACTATACTGTCCAGAAGCTATGGCCGATGATTTCAACTCCGACCTCAAGTAGGGGTAAATAGCTGGCATATCCTGTATAAGCTTTTCCTGTGCCAGGTAGAAGGCTCCATTAAGTCTCTGAATACATAAGTTGAAAGACGCGTCAGTGATTTTCACTTTATAACTAGGAGCCATACTGTCTGTGATGATTCTGAATGCATCTCGAGCGTGGTGTAGTTTCAGGCCGATCGACACGCCGTTGATGAGTAATTTTGACTGTCGAAAGAGTTCGATGTGTAAGGGTCCTTCCAGGTCAACAATAGAGCTTCCTTTAGTTTTAGAGTATCTCGTTTTGAGACCTTCGTTGCTGCCAGTTTTAGCATCGCTTGTACTAACATCACCGGTGTCCTTGTAGAACATTTGACAACCCAGAAGATTATCTTGAATTTGTTTGTTCGTCCGTAGTATAGTATCGATATAGGCTTTGTAAGGGTAATTTGCTCCGTTGTGAGATAAGGTAGTTTGTTGTAGAGAAACGTCCACCTGACCGAATATGGTGTGAAAAGGTAAATTGATCAGTGTGGTTATGACATTTTCGTCCAAGTCAGTTCCATCACCGTCAACGATTGCCAGTTTAACGCGTAACACGCTCCTTTTGAGGTCGATATAGGCGGAAGATTGTGCAGGAATATTGAACTCTATAGCCGATCCCGAATTAACTTGACCGACGGGTTTATATTGTATCCATTCCCGCGATTGCAAGGACTGGTCGGATATCGGTGACGTAAACAAAGACAATTCTTCTTGATGATATAGTTCGACATCCATGTTGGAATCTTAAAAAGTAAAGTCCGGGTTGTATTTGGTGTACTTTTGTTTTTTTGTATCGCTAACTTTGGTCTTCTTACGCTTTTTCGCGATAGGGCTAGTTTCGGCATTCTTACGTTTTATCTCAGACTTTGCAATTTCTGTAGTCTGAGCAACGGGAGTTACGAGCTTGACGTAGGGAGGCCGCTTGGTTTCCGCTTCTTTTAGTTTTCTGTACCTTGTACCGCTTCCGATTAAATAACGTCCCTGATGGTCGGGAAAAACGTAGCCGTCCCGCAAGTCCTTAAAATGTTGATACACCTTTTCGGGATCGGGATTGGAAGGAACCCATTTTTGTTGCTTATAATCAAATACCTCTATCGAACCCATGACTTTTTAAAGTGAATTACGCAATGTAAATTTTGGTCTTCTTTAAACGTCACCTGATTCAGGTCTTCGTCTTTCAGAGAAAAATGTATCGAGCTGAAGTAGTTCGTGGTCAGTGGAACGTATAAAGGATTCGAATAGTTGATATGTTGCAACTTTTTATATTTAGTCTCAATTTCGATGTTTCCAATAACGGGTAATGTATTGTTTCTTACGTATGAGGCGTTTACGAGGTTGCAACACAAATAAAGTCTTTTACTTCTCGGGGTAAAATTGCAGGCGAGAGTAACGTCTGTGAGGGCGCAGCTCCAAACGCCGTCCAATTCGTACGATTGTGGAAAATATACTAAAAAGTCCGAAGGGCTGTTGTTCTTACAAATTTCTTCAGAATCTTTACTGTTTATATAAAGATAGAAACTTTCCATGTTTGCTACGATAAGAGTTTTTCTACCATTCTTACGTCTCTCTTACGATCCTCACTTCGTCCAGAATTGTTTCGATTAAGTAAGCTGGTCTAAATAAAACCGTTATAATGGAATGGTAGCGTACAAGCATCGACTGTTTTCTTCTCGTCGACACTTCCAATGAAGCGAGAGATCGTAAAAGTAGTCGTTTCCTTTCTAAAGTCGGTACGTCTCTTCTCATGGGGTTAATGGTGCCGTTATTCCAACGTTTAGCTACGGCTGAGATAGCCTTTACTTGTCCAGATAGTAAATTACGTAACATAGTCTTTCTGGTAGACGCAGAGGCTTCTGAGAGACGCAGTAGAAAATGTCTATAAGGGTACACCGTTGAATGATTCATGATTAATGGTAATTTGTGCTCACTCATTCTTACGCGTGTATAGTTCCATTTCGACAAGCGTAGGATAAACTACATCGTCGATTTGCTCATAAAACTTCACTCCAGTGACTATTACTTTTCCGGTATGAAAACACCCAAAATTTATTCCTTCTCTCTTGAAATTGAGGCACGAGAATAGCTCGGGCTCGTAATTAACGTCTCTTTCCGACGACAGCATGTCTAAATTTAGTGGTTGACTTAACGTATGGCAGGCCGATAAAGTGATGAGTTTTATGTCTTTTAAATATATCGAATAACCGACCTTTTGAAGTATCCTGGCGTATCGCCGTAAACGTTGCTTCCCTTCTTGCAGACTAAGAGCTTTTCCGTTACAGTTCATAATTCCGTTGGAGAAAATGGTACAGTTTCCGCCTATTTTTTTGTGATGCCAAAGGAGTGCCGGGAAACGTTGCGGTTGGTATCGAACGTTATTTAGCTGATAACATAACTGACGTAAGTCAAATGAAGTAGACAGATAAGCGCTGTATACCACATTTGTGATAAACATGTTTTTCTAGACTCCTCCGACGAATGAATGAGTTCTGGTCAGTTAACCCTTTTTATAGTCACGTTGTTCTATTTTTAAAATTATTGATACGATTTCACGTCATCTTCGGGAATCCATGAGTCATACTTTTTAGGCCAGTGTAACCAACGCACCAACACTTGTCTCTGTTTCTTTCTTGTTCTTTTCTGCAGTATTTTTTCAACGTGATATTCGGTGTTCTCGTCAACGGTAATAGCTTGTAATTCTTGTTGATAAAAAGTGCCGTCGATTGGTTCACCGTCCCAGTCCTCTACCTTATAAACGGGCAGATCGTCCCTTTTAAACCTAGTTGTTATTTTGAATATTTCCCCCGTCCATTTTTGGGAATATTCTCGATCAAAAATGTTCCTCACGTGAGACATGCGTACTGTTTGACCAAGTTTTAACTTAAATCGTCTAGTAGTTTTCTTTTTGGACCGCGGTTCGTTTTTAGGTTTATGCGATTTGGTGCGTATCAAATACTGCTGGAGTCTACTTTCACTTTCGTTAACCTTGTTGATACTAGATGGTGTTGCGTTCAAACTAGAGTGCGTCGTATTGTTATAACTGGACATCAAATCTTGTAGAACGTTCACGTATCTCTGATTCCTTTTCTGTAATATGTATCTGAATATCTTGTGCTTCAGAGTCTTTATAAAACGTTCGATGTAATTTGCTTTGATTTCCGTGTTTTGTGCGTAAAAATGGTGTATACCCATTTGATCGAAGTATTTGTTTACATCTTTACTACGGAATTCTTGCCCTTTGTCGCTTCTCACAGTATTAGGTTTTCTTGAACCGGACAATATAGCTCGCAATGCCTTCACAACATCGATAGCTTTTTTTCTTTTCATAGCTTGGCAAAAAGCGAATCTAGAAAATATATCTATGGCTACGAGCAAATACTTGTAGCCGTCATTTTTATCCGCTAAATCGACCATATCAATCAGGTCCATGTCCCACTGACTATCTATGCCTTCAACAATAACGCGGGACCGATCATACTTGCGGCGGGCTCCTCTTGTGAGAGAGTAGGATTCTTGGTCTTGCAACCATTTTCGTATTCTATGCATCCCGATCTTAAACTTTCCATCGGACTTAACATATCGGTACAGTTTCCCTGGTCCGGCATAACTGGCCGGGGATTTTGGGTTAAAATAAATAAGTGAAAGATATGATTTCCAGTCTGACATACTTTTTATTTACAAACGATAATAAAATTGACATTCTTACAAACTAAATCATACAAGGTAAAATACATTTAAGATAATAAAAACTTCTCATATATCTCAACAACAAAAAAAAAAGTCACCAGTTATACAATCGTCAGGATTATATCGAAAATTGCATTATCCGGCTATTTGAAACGCACACACGCACCAAAAAAGTAAATTTCCATGTGCCGTTGATAAAAGTTCAAAGATTAGAATGATGGTATTCATTTCACAAAGTGTGTCCACAAAGTATTTTTTCTATTATGGTGCGATACGTATAAGTCATTGTTCTATTTTTAGAAAACGGTTTCCCCCCCCCCCCAATTGATTTTTGTTGTGCAATACGTATAATTATCTGATGATTAATAATATTTGTATGACTCAATGTCCAATCCTTAATTCAGCGGTTACGCGATTTGTCATCAGTGATTCATTGATATATATACATCTTTGTATGAAAATTGACCAGTCTCTCAGTATACGTTTGGTGTTCATATTTTCTAAAATAGTTACCAGTTAGTAAGGTTGTCAGGATTACACTCAGAGCAGCTCAGCATTCCTAACTGGTTCATATGATCAACTTGAATATAGCACGGTACCACGGCGTCCAATTCTGATAAAGTACGATTTATTTCCGGTAATAGTTCTTTTAGGCGAGAGAATTCTTCGGGTCTCAAGCAAAGTCCCTTTTTGGTGGGCACTACCTCTGTCGCAGGTTTCCAATGTTGTCTAATATCTACGCAAACGCTGTTTTCGGCCACTTTGCAATTAACGTTACCACCCAGGTGACGATTGTAAGTTTTTTTCTGTTTTAAAGCTTCATCTACGGAGTCAAGCTGGTCTAGAAAGTTTTTCCAGCGCATCAAAGTCAAACTAATGCCCTTTTTAGAGGGCTTATCTAGATTCCATTCCCTCAAGTCCACCCTAAGTTCGCCTTTCCACTCGCAAACTTGAACGTAACGGTTGTTTCCCAAAGAAAATTTACATCTGTAGCTCGACATGTTTCTCGTTCGAAGTCCGAAACTAGAATGATATAGACTGACACGTTTTCTGGTTTTTATACCCATCAGTACACATCTGTTGGCTATTTTTAAATCGTTAATGTCATTCTATACACGCAGTGATTAGTCACCAATTGGTAGATAAATGGTATAGAGTGTCATAAATCATTTCATAAAAGTCTATTTTCGTAATATTCCATAACGTCATGGAAATTTTCATTGGAAGATTAATAACGCGTCGCGAAGAATAACGTTAAAAATTAATAGGGACGCTATGATTCATCCTGAATAACGCTACACGTAGGGACAATAAGTTTAAATATATTGGACGCGGATAAAATCGATACGTACGTTATTAAGATGACGCTATAACTTATAGCGACGGGGCGGGGCTTAGGGGACGCCAAACAAGTGCTCGTGACGTCATCCCCTAAAGTGGCCCATATGAAGTAATGAAGTTTATCTATCTTTGAAAGACAGGCATTATCCCTGCTAACATAAAAAAACAGGTGGCCATAGTAAATCATGATGTTTGCAAACCTCAAAGCAGTAAAATCACTTATTAATTAATCTTGGATATTTTTATTTATTTCCTTACTATTTCAACACAAAGAAAGTCAAATATATTATTCAAGTGATTGCACAGGTTAATGACCAGATTTGGTGAGATAACACTGTGAGGAGTGCTTTGCACTAACAGCAGGAATATTTACCTGTTAAATTGTCTAAATTTTGTACTCTTGATGAAATAGTTTTAGCTGATACATGAATCGGAGCAAGTATGTGCTATAAATAAATAGCATAAATAGTGTTCGCTATAAACAAACAATAATACATTGAGAAATAAGCTTGTATAAGGGAGCCTAACTGTTTAAATTTCAACACTTACCAAATTGTCTTCTATTTCACTATCAGATTTACCTCCGTCAGCCATAATGGGCGCCTGTGATGAAACTTGCCTTTTTGCCGCCTTTTTTGTCAAGTCATAATACATAAGACAAAAGTCATAATACATAAGTCATTAGTCATAAGACAAAAGTCCTAAGACAAAATGGCACTTATGGGCTTCCGTAGTACGGCTAATTGATCTTGCGATACTATTTTTTAGCTGTGAATACGATAAAATCTCGTTACACTAAACATTTAAGCTGTAGTGTTTGTACAGGTCATTTAAAGCTTATATCTCACGTTAAGTTATGGTGAAACAAAAGAAAAATAACAAAGAAAAAACTAAACTTGTTACAAAAGGATATAAACCCCATCTTTTTTACAAAAGAGATACCGGACTATGTTTTGTTTTTTTATAACAAATAACTTTGATATATCTACAATAGTGTACACGTTAGACTTCGTGCTATTTATTTTACATTCAATATAATCATTGATGTACTTGATACTATTTTTATAACTATAGATAAAGACAATAGCAGTACAATTAGCTTAAATATCCCATAAATCCTTAGTTATAGCACAAAGCTATATTTGATATATAAGTCTCTGTCGATCTTCTCTGGCAAAAAAACCGGCACTCGGCGTACACTCATAATAAGCTGAGGCACGCCCCTGAAGAGTTTCTAAAGATTAATCAGGGGGTACCTGATCCGATGACTATAAGCTTGAATGTAGTCAGAGATAAGATTCTTTTTCAACTTCAATAATTCATGAAGATAGAATTAATGGTTAAGACACAAAAGAAGCAGTCTTTAGCGTGACTCTATAATTTGATTGCTATGTCTATGCTTACAAAAGGGGGGTTTATTTTATGACAAAAGAACACAAGTCAAACAAATAAACTAGGTCATTTTACAAGTCCTATTTACCGTTTTAGTTTCACGGTGCATTAGCCCTGTCGTTTACAAAAAAAGTAATCAGCTCATAAAAAGATTGAATTTGTATGAAAACACCCGAAATATAATGCGGAAATATACCGTTAAATTCGGGCTGCTACTTAAAAATGATTGCTGAGTTTCTATTGATGTACGAAGGATACAAAGGCGGAGTTTCTAATGCAAATAGAAATTGTATCTCCGAATCCTTAGGTCTTTCTTAGCACATTTTCCTCAACATGCTTTTTAAAATACCATTCATTCTCTCACAAAGAGTTACTAAGTCGTGGCCAAGGGGTACTTTGTCGTGGCCACGAGTGACTAAGTCGTGGCCACGAGACAGCTAAGTCGTGGCCACGAGATAATATGTCGTGGCCACGAGATACTATGTCGTGGCCACGAGTTACTAAGTCGTGGCCACGAGATAATTTAGTCGTGGCCACGATATAAATAACCAATCAGATTACACCATTCATGTGAATTTCCCTTATTAACTAGACATGTGCTATAGTTCAAGGATGCCCCTTCTTCACCAGCCTATAAAAGTGTCATTTATACAACTTATTTACTTGTCGATAATTATACATTAAGCGTCACTGAAACTCGTGGCCACGACTTTGTAACTCGTGGCCACGACTTAGCTAACTCGTGGCCACGACATAGTATCTTGTGGCCACGACATAGTATCTCGTGGCCACGAGATAAATAAAAACACCTACATGTCACCCTTGTGCCACCGTAGACACAAGTCTACAAACTTCTTCCATAAGTTGTGACGTGAACTGACTACCCCTATCACTAAGTATTTCCGATGGGAAACCTACTCTTGCAAAAATATCTTTTAGTTGTAATCTTTCCTGGCAAAATATTGTTTGTTAAAATTTAACAAAAAAATTATCAAAGTTTAACAAACAATATTTTGCCAGGAAAGATTACAACTAAAAGAGAATATCCCGGACGAGCACCCAAATTGTCAGGAGAAATGACTGCCTTGATGTTATTTAATCTAAGGAAAGATTTAGTAGTAAATACTAGAACCAACTTTTAAGATATGGGGGCTGGGCAGCACCGCCTGACATAAATTTGAAATATTTTTAGTTGAAAAAACTAGCATGTTATTGTTTAGTTAACACTATTTTTTAGGTATTTTATTTTTTTTTATTTAAAATTTATATATACATATAAACAACAAACTTTGATTATTATTTACACCCAAAACAAAGAACTCTGATCATTATTTACACCCAAGACACACATCATTTATCAACCACTTATATGAAATATCTTTTCACGTATACGCCTTTTGTACTAAACAAAACTTAACACCTGGCGAGCCCAAGCTCTTAACAACTTATGATCAAACAAAACAATAAAATCACCACAAAATGAATAACACAAAAATGAATATTTTCACAACTCTAAGATACACTATAAACCACAAACATTCAACCAACAACATTAACTTCACTAAAATTAAAACTTCTAATCAGCATCAGAAAACAACTTAAACTAAAGCACCCAATTTTTTTTTATACATATATTCTCAAAACAAAGCATCAACTAATATAGTCTTGACCAGACATAATCAACCAATTTCAACGAAGTATATCTTACCAAACAGACATAACTCAACCAATTTCAACGAAGTATATCTTACCAAACAGATATAACTCAACAACCAAAACAACTAATTACAACCAATAAACCCTGGTCAATTACGATCACCACAATAACATTCAAGCAACTAACAACAAATTCTCTTCTCAACAAAAAGAAAACAAAAAACAAACGCTACACTCTCCTAAACTGATGCAAAATCAGTCTCAAAACTCGCATATTTTCTGTTTATTCACATGTATAGAGAGTTTAATATTCGCACATTGAAATATGATACACTTCTACGGTGTTCCGTTTAGACAGTCGTGATTTTTAATTTAGTCTGTTCTCTCGATGCACGATGGTACGATGGTGAAAACGCGATGGCACGATGGTGACAACACAATGATACGATGATGAAAGCGCGATGGTACGATGGTGAAAGCGCGATGGTACAATGGTGAAAACGCGATGGTACGATGGTGAAAACGCGATAGTACGATGGTGAAAGCGCAATGGAACGATGGTGAAAATGCAATTGTACGATGATGAAAACGCGATGGTACGTTGATGAAAACGCGATGGTACGATGGTGAAATCGCGATGGTGCGATGGTGAAAAAGCGACGTAACATCGCGTTTTCACCATTGTACTATCGCGATTTCACCATCGAACCATCGCGTTTTCACCATTGTACCATCGTGTTTACACCATTGTACCATCGTGCCATCGCGTTTTCACCATCGTACCATCGTGCACCGCGGGTACAGACTAAATAAAAAGTCACAATTGTCCAAACGGAACACCGTACACTTCAGTTTATCGCTGTAGGAACACATTAACTCTTTGTAAAGAAAAATTATCTACAGTGAAATGTTTGATTATTCTGACTGTAAAGGTTTATATTCCTTATAACTAGACCTATTTCTTTACACACCTGTTTTCAACTTGGCTCATTAACATTCAATTTGGGAAAGATTGAAATATTTAAAAGATTGGACAATGACTTCCATGGAAGAATTCAATGAGGGTAAGCGTATATATAACAATTATTATTTCAACCAGCTTTATTTTTTACTTTTCTGTGATTATGATTGATTTCAATATAATTTTGTTCATTTTTTTATTTATATTAGCTGAAATTTTATAAATCATTTAATCTAAAGTGAAAAGATTTTGTAAATGATGGAAGACCTACTTTTACAGTTGCTGTTTCATATTTTACAAAAATAATTCAACGACATTTATAAGTTAAACTGTTCAATGTATAAATTATTTAATCTTAGGGGAACATTTATGTAAATGATGGAAAACCTACTTTTACAGTTGTTGCTTCATATTTTACAAAAATAATTCGACGACATTTATAAGTTAAACTGTTCAATGTATAAATTATTTAATTTAAGGGGAAAATTTATGTAAATGATAGAATACTTACTTTAAAAGTTTCTGTTTCACATTTTCATTTTTGTAAAATGTTGAAAATAATTACAACTGTAGAAAGATTCAGCAAGTACAATCAAATTTAATATTAGAATTTAAAATAAAAATTGTATACAGAAGGTACACTCACTCATGTGTTATAATTGAACTGGTAATCATGCATGTTTACCAAATTATCGTTATTTAAATAACAAAAATATATTATCGATTATTGTTTGGCAATATTAGTTTTCGGGATGATGTTTGCTTGTTTCCGTAATTCATAACGATTTACCCATTAATTTTTAATCACAATACTTTCATTTTCATTTGCCGATAGCCCAGTGGTAAGTAGGATAGCATTGCAATCGCGAGGTTGCAGGGTCGAATCCTGTTACATTTCCATCACTACCGGTATTTTTTTTATTTACA